TGTGAATATAAAATAGTTTCAAGGAATGCTTTAAAGTATAATGCCTAGTATTCTACACGTGGCATAGTTTAGTTGTGAGCCACTCATGCAGTGCCTAAACACCAAACTCAGTGGTGATAAAAATAACGTGATCTTACTAACATATCTTCTCTAATGTGATATTCTCAATTGAATCAAAATTGAACGCATGTTGATTGCACGTTTTCTTCTGTTTTCGTCATTGAAACTCAAAAATAAAATAAAAATTACAACTCGAACATCAAAATTTACCACTACGTGCTCATGTGAATGATGATGTGGTTCCGGCCCTAACAAAAAGTAGTCCATATTTTTAGTGTATAATTGTGTTTGAATTCTATTACATGTCTATAAGCCCCTGGATGGGATAAGAGGTCCCATAAAACTACTACTGATGTTTTCTATATTTGTAATGTATTAATTATGATTGAATTCTCTTACTTTTTATATTGGTTTAACTTTAAATTTCTTTTTCACTTTGTAATCTATTGACTCACTCACGCATTACTTGTCTGTACAATTAAAGCAATATCTTTTTCTGGCCAATCCCAATTGCCCTCCCCTCCTCCTGTCAAGGAATAATTCTCCTCTTTAAACATTGGTACACACCTACACAGTAATTATGATCAGATGATGGCTAATATCTTTTTCTGAAAAATGGAAACATATATGTGCATATATTAATGCAGCATGAGTATATTAATGCGGATAAGATACTTGTTTTACAAATTATTTCTCTATTTGGTTATGCTCGTTGGGCTTTCACGAAATTAGTAGTGCTGGTGTTGGGTCTTGCGAAATTAATCTTCAGAAAGTTAAAATAATAATAATAAATATTGAGAAGCGATATGATTAATTTGAGTTCCCTTCTTTCTTTTTATTATAAGAATTAATTGTTGACTTATGATTATGATTGATATTTTTAAGAAGACTCGGGACTTAATATCGCTATTATAACTTCAAATTAATCAATAAGTTAGTGGTATTACGTCTTACTTTTTAAAGGAAGGTCAGGAACATAGTTCACAATCGCGGTATCGGTTGTGGTATCAGTCGCGGTCACGATGTAATGGATTAGAACGAATATCGGTGTAAACCAGCGGATTTATAGAAGTGTGTAACGGCATCGGACCTTTTAAAAAAAAATTACGAATCCGGGTCTATCAGCGAACACAACGAACCATGGTCAGGGGTTGGAACCTCCATGAAAGCATATGTGTGAGTGAGTACCAATTAAGAAAAATAAAAAAACTTCATATTAGATTTTTTTATTTTATTTTTTATGTTCAGGTATCAGTGTCATAGACTTAATTACCATCACACATCTAGACAACATTTTACCTCCTCATTTACATTACATCTGGCTTTGGTACACTTTTAGGGTGATTACTTAATCTAAATGACGTTGGTAATGGATTGATGAGAGATTTATAGGTTTGTCTTAGTTAATTACTTACTTAAAAAATAAAATGATGCAAGGCTACTATATTTCTTGGAGGAGTGGCAACCAGTCCACGTTGTTAGAAAGATTCCTCTAAAAATAACTTGCTCAAATGTAAATTGATGTCTAAGGCTCGTAGGGAAGTTATGGTGAAATTGCAGTTACCGTGAAATCGGTGTTGCGAAATCGAATAAAGTTAAATGGATCAGTTGGGCTAACCTTTGTAAGTCCAAGGAAGATGGGTGACATTGGTTTTAAGAATGTCGAAGCTTTTAATTTAGACCTCCTAACTAAGATTGCATGGAGAATGGAAATAGGTGATCAGTCCCTGTTATTTAGGTCTTCTTTCAACAAGAAGATTTCAAAACTTCCAGTTTCGTGGATGCCCCGGATAGACCCAGTGCTTCGTGGGTATGGAAGAGCATCCTTTTAAGAGGAATAAAATAGCGTATTGGTGATTCTTCCTCAATTAATTGTTGGAAAGATAATTAGCTGCCTCTCAACAATTTGGGGCTTCGGTTTTCTTGGACAATGTAAGCAGCCCTTCACTTGCTAAAAGTCTCATTCTGAGGGAGTCCGTTCCTTCTCAAAAGTTGGGTTACCAATGGTGGAAGGTGATTGTAAGCCTGTCATGCAGCTGCAAGCTTCGTTGGAAGCTCAGGGTGGTGTTCTCGGATGTATCCTCTCTTCTCAAGGAATGTGTAGGTTTTTCCCTTGCTTGGATTATTGGAGTAGGAAATGCTGCGACTTATTTGACTAGTAAAAAGGCTCTTGAAACCGAATGCGGTGATTTAAAAATGGAACATTTGAGCCCAATGGTTGTTAATGCCTCTTCTTCCCATTTGTATCTTTTCTCGGTTTGAATGTTATGGTTTGTTCATTGGTGGCAAAAAAAAAAAAAAAAAAATCTAAATGTATTTAATTTTATATACTATACAGTTGGAAGTAAATCAGATTTAGCATACGCTTGAGAAATTATTGAATTGTCCAACTAGTGAGTGTAGGCACATGATTAGTTTTGAACATCCTAGTAATTGTTCAACTCCTTAATCTACTGGTTCCACGTCCATACATGTGTCAACCGGTGCAGTAGTAAATAAGCTATGCAATACATAATATGTTACATCACAATATGTGTATTGCATATGTAGAATATTACATTACAATGCAACACGCAACATCACGATATGCAACACCAATGCGACAACAATTTAATATTTATACAACATATTTACATTAAAGATATATAACTTATTACAACACCATTAAACTGAAAATTCTATACATATACTTAATTATTATATACTTCACACACACATATATATTGAAATTTTTTTTGAAAAAACTATACATAGGTAAAGTTAAGAGTCATAAATAACAAATTTATCAGTTTTAAAAGTTAATTTTCTATTTTGATTAGATTAAGCAAAATAATTACAAATACATCAATATTTATTGCTCAGGTCCAAAATATCCTCACACTCTTATTTCAAAATACTAAAATATCCTCCTTAAAATGATATAATTTCAATATAATAACATAGATAATTAAAAATTAGTTTGACTAGCAAATAATAATTCTCTATCACTTACCTTCGTTGTCAATCAGCCACTAAGGACCTAGATCACCCACCTCGCAGGTCTTCTAGGTCCTCCTCCCTCCCTCTCTCTCCACACACACATATAAATATAAATATGTAATATTTTTGTTCAGGAGTTTCAGATCTAGGACCCTGTAAGCTTTAGAAGTATGTTATAACTTATGAATTTAGGATTCTCGCAGAGGGTTATCAATTTGGCATCTCAAAATTTATTGTGATTTTTTATAATTGATTGAAGAAGGAACAACAACTAGATACCCCTTGACAACAAAAAAGAAAGGCAGGTGGATATTTCAATACATCATTACCTACTGCCGGGATATGAAATCCTTAATAAATTCCATTATAGTTTTGACATCTTCTAATATATTAACAATAATAATAACTTCTTTTAGGTAACAATTGAAAAATCTTCTATGTGATATATCATCACTGCCATAGTAAACTTGTGGAGCTTTCCTTTTACAATTCTTACCTTTTAGATCAATAAATATTGATGTATAATAAATATTGATGTACTGAAAATTCTATAAATATACTTAATTATTATATACTTGACACACATATATATAGAATTTTTTTTTGAGAAAACTATACAGAGGTAGAGTTTATGAGCCATAAATAACAAATTTATCAGTTTTAAAAGTTAATTTTCTATTTTGATTGGATTAAGCAAAATAATTACAAATACATCAATATTTATTGCTCAGGTCCAAAATATGCTCACACCCTTATTTCAAAATACTAAAATATCCTCCTTAAAATGATATAATTTTTATATAATAACATAGATAATTAAAAATTAGTTTGACTAGCAAATAATAATTCTCTATCACTTACCTTCGTTGTCAATCAGCCACTAACGTCTAGGGCATCACCCACCTCGTAGGTCTTCTAGGTCCTCCTCCCTCCCTCTCTCTCCACACACATATAAATATAAATATGTAATATTTTTGTTCAGGAGTTGCAGATCTAGGACCCTGTAGGCTTTAGATGTAGGCTTTAGAAGTATGTTATAGCTTATGAATTTAGGATTCTCGCAGAGGGTTATCAATTTGGCATCTCAAAATTTATTGTGATTTTTTATAATTGATTGAAGAAGGAACAGCAACTAGAGACCCCTTGACAATAAAAAAGGTAAGAATGAATTTAGGATTCTCGCAGAGGGTTATCAATTTAGCATCTCAAAATTTATTGTGATATTTTATAATTGATTGAAGAAGGAACAGCAACTAAAGACCCCTTGACAACAAAAAAAGAAAGGCAAGTGGATATTTCAATACTTCATTACCTACTGCCAATATATGAAATCCTTAATAAATCCATTATAGTTTTGACATCTTCTAATATATTAACAATAATAATAGTTTCTTTTAGGTAACAATTGAAAAGTCTTCTATGCGATATATCATCATTGTCATAGTAAGCTTGTAGAGCTTTCCTTTTGCAATTCTTACCTTTTAGATCAATTGACATCAATTCCAAAGGGCAATCCAATGCCGATGGACGACGAAGAAAAGAGATGGAGAATTTTTATTTGCTAGTTAAACTAATTTTTAATTATTTATTTAATATTTGAAATTAAATAATTTTAAGAAATATATTTTTGTATTTTGTAATAAGAGTGTGAGGACATCGGACCTTAGCAATAATTCCTGATGCATTTGCAATTATTTTGTTTAATTCAATCAATGTGAAAATTTAACTTTTAAAATTAATCAATTTGTTATTTAAAGCTCTTAATCCTCCTTATACGAAGTTTTTCCTATTTTATTTAAGTATATATATATATTATTTCATAGTTTCTCTTTATACTACGTTTTTTTCCTGTTTTTTTAAAGGTTTAGGTTTTTTGGTTACTTTTTGGGCTTGGGTTGGCTTCTCTCTAGAGGCCTACAACTAAACCTTATTTCATCGCAACTTTAAATCCCTCATGTAAGGCGGTCCGGAGGACGATCTGGTACGAGAAAGTTCCATCTCTCTCCAGAACCACCGTTTCTCGATAGTATCACAAAAGATCACCACCATTACCTATAATTTTCTTTCCACTTTCGCAGTAAAACACCACCAATTCTCACTTCCAACAACAACAACGTACCAGAAAGCAAAACCAAAACATGGGTTTCTCATGCGAATCCTTACCCTCCTCCCAAACAGTCCTCTCCGCCGCCGCTTCCCTCACCGCCACGGCGGTTCTCTTCCGAACCGTCACCAACGACTTCATCCCCGACAAAGTCCACACCTACTTCCTCTCCTCCCTAAAAAAACTCACCAACCGCTTGTCGTCCCAACTCACCGTCGTCATAGAAGAATTCGACGGCCTCACTGCAAACCACATGTTCCAAGCTGTCAATGTGTATTTAGGCACCAAGATTTCACCATTAACCCAAAGAATCAAAGTGAACAAGATCGAAAAATACGATGAACTCTCATTCTCTGTTGACAAAGATCAAGAGATAATCGATTGCTTCAAAGGCGTGACGTTCAAGTGGGTCCTACAATCCACAGCCGTCAAACACCCATCAAAAGATAGTCGCAGCTCAAATCCCAGATCGGAAATCAGACATTTTGAATTCAGTTTTCCCAGGAAACAAAAGGACTTGGTTCTAGAACCATACTTGAGGTATATACTACAGAAAGCCAAGGCAATAAAAGAAGAGAGAAAAGCTTTGAAGCTTCACACAGTGGACTACAATGGTACAGACTATTGGGGTTCTGTACTTCTCAATCATCCGGCAACATTCGATACAATGGCGATGGATACGGAGACGAAGAAGGAGCTGATTGAAGATCTTGAGAGGTTCATAAATGGGAAGGAGTATTATAGAAGAGTTGGGAGGGCTTGGAAGCGCGGGTATTTGTTGTATGGTCCGCCCGGTACAGGGAAGTCGAGTTTGGTTGCAGCCATGGCTAATTATTTGAAGTTTGATGTGTATGACTTGGACTTGAGGGAGGTTCAGTGCAATTCTGATCTGAGGAGGTTGTTGATCGGCACAACAAACCGGTCCATCCTGGTGATCGAAGACATTGACTGCAATGTTGGGTTGCAGAATCGAGAGTCTGGGGACGAAACTCAGGATGATAAGGTTCGTTTCTAACTAAATTTACTCAGCAACATAATGACTGTGTTTAAACAAAGGGCTGATTTAATACTTCTAATGCAACATAAGAACTGTTTAAAACTTTGAACTTACATGTGATTGTTGGTGACTGCTACGACAGATTACATTGTCCGGGTTACTCAACTTCATTGATGGATTGTGGTCGAGTTGTGGAGATGAGCGGATCATAGTGTTCACGACGAATCACAAAGACCGTCTTGATCCGGCATTGTTGCGACCGGGTCGGATGGATGTGCACCTCCACATGTCGTATTGCACCCCTAGTGGCTTCAGGATACTTGCACGTAATTATCTGGGTTTAGAGGAGCACCCGCTGTTTGGGGAGGTGGAGGAGCTGTTGGGGAAAGTTCAGGTAACACCCGCTGAAGTTGCAGGAGAGCTAATGAAGAAGAGTGACAATGCTGAAATTGCACTTCGAGGCGTTATCGAATACCTTCAAAGCAAGGAAAACGAAGCGTAACCAAGGCCACCACCGGGTAACATTTTAGAGGGGCACTAACTTGTAGGTTTCAGTTTTATTAGATTATGAAGGATTTTGAATTGATCGTATTGTTGTAAACTCTGGATAATTTTTTGGACTATATAGAGGACTTCGGTAATGAATAGTCTTTGCTCTCATCTCATCTCCAGTTCCTTTTGTAAATCTTTTGGATTTTCCAACTGTTAATAACCTCACCCGCGCCCACGGGTAGCAATACCCCAATATTGTATAGTCCCGACCAATTAGAACATCCCATTTCCTTTATTGGCTTCACTAACGGAAGACAATCCTATCTTGTCTACAAAAAGGTTGGGATGTGCAACATTGTGAACAAAACACCAGAGAGAATCCGGGTCCATTCAATAACGGTTACCCCGAGATACTCAATAACATCTGGATTGATTCACAGCTAGATACTTGATATAGCAAAAAATTCACACCCACACTACTCGACTTTAACCTCGACTTTCTACATCTGAGCTACTTACTTGAGCCCTAGAATGTAAGGCGAGTATAACAAGGTTTTGCATTCCATTTGTTTATCAAGATAGAGGCAGAGGAAATGAGAAAAACAAGTTACATGGATCTTTTTCAATGATGATCCAAACCTGATATAAACTAACAAGCTTTTGCTACCATTGTCCACTAATGGCCTAATGTAAAACAGATCCTTCAGAGAATAAATTGGATTATTTCACTTGATAAGGCCATTCTGTCACAACACGTCTTGATTTGACTGAAATTTTCTACAAGTAACCAAGAATGCCAGTGCAAGACATATAATTGAAGAGACTGTCGAACTAGGACTGTCCCAAACCAACCTCTAATTTGACATTCTAGACAGGAGACAAAGATTGCACCACGAAAGGGAGGTCTATCATATAATGCATATGAGGTAACCCCTTATAAAGCATTCACAAAGGCACACATACTAGATAAAGCAAAAGCAAACAGGTGCATGCACACGCATCTACCTAATATAACGCGGCGGCTAAAATTAATTTGGCCAATGGGGTCTTCATGCTCGTCAAATAGAGAAGGTTACTGCATCATACAAATGAGACTCAAGAAAACCAACTACAGGTTCCAGTTCATATCCTGATGTCACAACCTGCATAGACAAGCAGCAAGAACTACCTAGTTCTTTAAGCAAACAAAGCAATTTAATATTATAGCATTGGAACAGTTTATACAGAATTGACAGGACCAAATAAGACAAGAAACCCGAGAAAAAAAAATGATTATACACTGGATGGTCAATATTACCTCAAAAAACAGACAGTATCCATCATTAAAAGGAAGAAAAGCAGTCCAAGTTTTTCTTTATTATCATCCTAAAGCTCTATACCGCCATTTTCATTTCTATCTTCTGGTGAGGATCATAACCTATGAGTTTGAAATCAGAAGCCGCGAATGAATCGATGTCCTTCTTCTCTGAATTGATTCTCAAAATCTGTTTTGCAACAAGGGAAAAACAATTATGGAAGTTCAAGAAATGGGAAGGAAAGAAATAGCTGCTCCCGACAAATTATGGCAGGAAATTAGCTTGGACCCACACCCTAGCTTAGAATAAAAATTTCATGTACCATCATCATATTCGTTGAATCACATGGAGTCAATCTATTTAATAGTGATGTATTATTGAATTTGTTCAAGTACTAAATATTGTACAATCACGACCTTACTTGAACAGGAAATATATATATATATATATTGTACAATTACAAAGAAAAGTACAGAACATTGGTGATTTAATCTATATTAAGAAGCAAAACAGAACCACGTACTCTTGTCTGAAGACTTGAAAAAAGAAAAAATATATATATATTTAAACATTTCAACTTTAGGTCAATAACTCACATCCTTCTTTCTTTTTTCCAAAGGGCCTATGTGGTATGACTTCCACCTCCCTAGAAGGGGAGATCTAGGGTTCAAGCCCAAAGAGGGTAAAACGAATGTGTGCAATGCTTGCTTATCCTTCTTTATTTTATTATACTTACAGGAAAAGGTTTAGGTAGTTTCTGAAGCTGCTCTTGTAGAGGCCTGATATGGGTTCTATAAACATGAGCATCCCCAGTAACATGGATGAAATCCCCAGGAATAAGATCTGTGCAGGCAAAGTAGGTTAAATGACATTCTTCTCAAAGTTGCACAAATTAGATAACTACTATCAGATCAAGCTAGTGATTAGACCTAAGGAAACATTGAGGGTTTTTACAATTTCAAATTTTGCCTGTAAAATAAATGCTTACCGCAAACATGAGCTATCATGCATGTCAATAAAGCATAAGATGCAATGTTAAATGGCACGCCAAGACCCATGTCAGCTGAACGCTGATACATTTGACAAGATAACTCGCCATTGGCAACGTAGAACTGCAATATATTAATAAGTTAAAAAGTAGTAAATAAAAAAATAAAAATAATAATAACAATAATAAACAAAATGCAACAATAAAAAAGAGCTTCAAAAAAAATACACATGTTGCAACCTGTGCAAACATGTGGCAAGGCGGCAGAGCCATCAACTTCAGATCAGATGGATTCCAAGCTGAAAGAATAATCCGCCGGTCATCTGGCTTATTCTTGACCTTGTATATAACATCTAACAACTGGTCAAATCCTTGGCCCGTGTAGTCAGCATGCATGTTGATGTATCTGTTAAAAACAGCCCTTAGATGGGATCTCCAAAGGTGAAATATATATTTTGCTTCCATTAAGTCAACTTCTAACCACTAACCGGGCACCAAAGTGTCTCCACTGGAACCCATATATGGGTCCTAAGTCACCTTCTTCCCTGTCCGTCAAACCAATACTGAAAAAAAGATTACAGAGATGCATCAGATGGATGATGGATCCATGGGGTCAAAATAGACTTGATTCTGATAGCTAAGTAGTTGCCTGTCAAGGTAGTCCCTAGATGCATTGCCATCCCATATATGGACATCTTTGTCCTGTAGAACCTATTAGTAGCAAAAAAAATTACGATCAACTTTTACATTAATTAAAAATCAGCAATTTGTAAAAGACTTAAATATAGATATATATATATATATATATATATATATATAATATCCACTGTTAGATATTTAAAAGAATACATAAAAAGCAACTCCTGAAAACACAATATAATAAAAGCCTTCACTAAATGAGCAATTTTATAAAGCTTCAACCAAGAACTGAAACCTCCATCTGGAATAAATTAACACTATGTAAAAGGATGACCTTCCAAATCGCATAATTCTCAGAAGTGAGACTGCTTCAATAAGTAACTTCACCTTTTGTTCAACTTAAAACAGTAGGAACTTTTAATATACGCTTACTAAATAAAAATCTGCTCAGAGTTTTGGGTTTAATACAGATATTTTACCAACAATTTAATAAATTATAAGTGCAGTGCTTGGTGTATTGATCGTTTTTGGAAAGGGATTCTATGATTATACGAAAATCACCAAGACTCACAAGCCCCTAGTATCTTCTAGAATCTCACTTTGGTAAAATCTATCCCCCTTACATTGTAATATCTTATTAAAAATATTATTAATGAAAGTTCAATTAAAATTTTGAATTTGATCAAACTACAATAGCAAATGCATTATGCAAGTCAATATATGAACTTTGAACTCAGTTCAGCCAACTGAGATTCACATAGAAACCGGCTTCTAAAGCAAATTGAGTGAGTCATCCATTTTCACATTTTTTTAAATACAGATTGAGACACTTAAAATGAAAGTATATAGGAACAAATCAGTGGTACTTGCTCATTATCAAATATTGCATTGAAGAAAGTATCCAACAAATTCATACTCTAACCATTTCCTTTAACTTGGGGGGGTTCTAGAAAACTTAAGATTGCTAAAAGCCATTTTATTTTGGGAATCCTATTTTGTTGCTATGAACCTTGAAAGAGCAGTAGGGTAAAATATTATTTCTGTAACCCAACCCAAATAGTTAAATAGTTCCGAAGATGCTTAATAGAATTTATCAAGAAGGGTAAAATACTATAACTGAAACCCAACCCAAATAGTTAAATAGTTCAGAAGATGCATAATAGAATTGATCAAGCATTCATTTTGTATCTCATACACTTGCTCTTTCGGAATCAGATAAAGATGATGGTTAGTAGAGCTGATCAAGCACTCATTTTGTGTCTCATACACACAAATCATTGCCATAACCAACACAGAGAATCTCAAGTGGGGACAATATTTTCTAACCGACACAGAGAATCTCCACGGGACAATATTTTCTATTCTTGTTATAAATCAAAAGATAAGGGAAAAAAATAAAAATTACCCAATGTGGTGCCATGGCAGGTGTCACAGGGGTTGATTTTGAATACGAATCTCCTGGCCTGTGATGGCACTAAGCCAAAAATATAAACTTTTTTTCTCTGATTTCTGACTTAGCTCAGCCAACTCACACTTGCTGCCTAGGACACATAGCAAGTAAAACACTCTCACACACAATTATAGTTGCAAGAATATAAGGACAAGAACACCCACGAATTTACAGAAGTCCAAGGCGTCCAACTTTTTACTATTATTCACAAAACAGTACAAGGAAAGGCCTCAACTGCAGAAGCATACAAGAGTCTTTCACAACACTCTTCTCTATATCTCACAGCCTTTCTCTCTGTGTATCTCCCTCTCAGTATGTCCCTCACTCTTCTACAGAACCTGCATATTTATAGGCAAACTCACAAAACTGCCCACAACAGCCCACTAAAGTGGTGGATGACACCCCCCTCCACCTAAGGTCGTGCTAACACAATCTTAGAGTGTCAACACTACATTTGCAGTTGATAAGCTCAACAGCTAGCTTGCTGGCATACCCAACACGTCATCTGTGCACAAGAGGTTGCTCATCATCTGCCACATATCTATATAAGTTGTATAACTTTATATATCAACATAATGGAGTAAAGATGACCCCAACCACCTGCGTGTTGTCACCTCAGACTTGTGCCACGTGCATAGGAGGTTACTCAGCACATCCCCACTCCCCATAATATATGCACATGAGTGGAAAGTGCTAGTAACCGCCCCCAACCGACTGAGCCCACCTAGCCATTTTCTATAACCATGAGCCATGTTTGAGTCCCCTGAGCCACCCTTGCATGTTGAGCCTCGTCTACGCCCACTCCCTTGTGCCCGTGTCCCTGACTTGACTATGCCGCACGTCCATGACTTTTGATCCATGCTTTTAAGCAACATCTGAGTCAATCTTGTGAACCTTGCTCGTGCCAAGCCCACTGATATAAACCAAGCCAACCCATGCTCATGAGTTATCCCGCGCCTTGGTCTATTGGGGCATAGCGTTAAGCCATGCCCACACTTCGGTCCATCCGAGCCACAACCTTGCTCAAGGCAAGTTAGCACAATCCAAGGACCCACACATGCTGGTTTTCCAAACCATGCACAAGACTTAGGACTTACTGGTGCATGTGCGCGCACCCGTGGGCATGGCGCGCACACCATGTGTGCGCCCACAACATGCTCACGCGTGCGCGACCATGGGCATGGCGCGCACACCACGTGTGCACCACAACATGCCCACGCGCACGCGCACGCGCCCGCGCCCGTGAGCATGGCCCGTCCTTGGTGTCGCCGACGCGCCACCAAGTGTCTCCTTCTCGAGCCACCACCTTCAGGTGGTGCGTGCTATGCCTAAGCATGTTGGCTAAGCTCCCAATGCGCGTTACATGCAAGGCGTGCCATGGCCTTACTGAGGGGCATGGGTGCTGAGGAGTGCTTCCCTACATTTGAATAAGGGAAAACCGCCGCTCTGACAGGAGTAAACATTACATATGTTTGAGTAATAATGGGCAAAATTAACTCTGGACCTCTAAAGCCAAATCTGTCTTCACCAATAAACTTCTTAGGCTTCAAGGAAGCTCCCCTAACTTTTCCAATCCCAAACTTCAAACTTCATTTTTCAGCATATTTACGAAAATGCCCCTGTGCACGATGACAACACCCCATGGCTGTCAGGGGGCTTATCAAAGTCCGAACCCTGTAACAGCAGGCTCCTAGGGACGTAGGACTTGAAATAGACACTACCTTTGATATTTCACAAAGTGCCTGCTCTGAGACTCGAACTTGCACCAGTGGCACCGATACTCAAGCACAACTGTTGAGCCAAGCAATGCCTCTCAAAAGATAAAATAAATAAATAAATAACCCTCTACAGTAGGTGAGAATCCCATCATCAACAGCAATATGGTGGCACGATTTAAATAACTATTGATAAGTATAAATTAAACAAAAACACAAGGAAAGCCCAATTTGTTACAGTTCTTTTGAAAAATACCCTTTTCTCTCCTTTTTCTATAAATATTCAAACATCAATTTCATAGCATCTAGATTACCATCTTATAATTTTATTAAATTAAATTTATGGTAAAGAATATAATTAAAGTGCATTACCTTGAAGGCATGCCATACATCGAAAATGAAAAGTGTAAATAGTCCAGGTAAATTCTATAAGAGGCTAAGAGCAAGCAATAGCCAGAGTAAAAAAAAAAAAGCAGCAGCATCTCAGTAAAAGTTGAGCTTTAGCCAACACTAAACACCAATTAATGAGGAATTTCAAGAGGAAATCTATGTGGGGAGCCCCACTAGCTCCAATAACTCCAGAACATGGTACATTTAAAGAAGATATGCATGTCAATGCTTTGCTCAATTGAGAAATACAAGGCCTTCCGAGATGGATGAATTAGGAGGATGAAGAAGAGAACATATCATGACTTGATTAAACCAAAAGGCGATAAATATCCTATATCTAAATCATAATCACTCCACCTGCTGAAAAGTATTTAAAACCACACCTAGAGTGTAACATGTCCAGATTCCAGACTGAATACAATCATGACTTGAACATGCCTGGACGCATGTAATAGCTACGGCTTTAACTAAACTTTACAATTTTAAGTTATTGGGCATCACAAATGGTCATGAAAAAATCTTATTTCTATTTTATATATATAAATATGTTGTGTGTGTGTGTGGCGAGGAGGGGGGGGTTGCCTAATTAGGTATCATATTAGGAAACTACTTTAGTTTTCATGACATAGGCAATGATGATTGATGAAGACCAAAGGAAAAAAGAAAAGGCTTCAATCAATGACCTAGATCAATTCCCTATAATGATCCTACAAAACATCTTTCAGAACTCCATAATGATCTTGAATTTTGCTACTCCTATTTTGCATGACCCTATATGGGTCCTCTACATTCTGGAATACTCCACATAACCCTAAACAGTTATAGAAGGATCTCTAAACAAATAGACTCGAACATCCATGCAGACACCATGAAGTGTCCCGTAAGCCCATGTGTGGCGCCTGCGTGGCCTAGCATTCACTTAATTTGGGCGCATCGTGACAATACATTGGATTTCATCATTTCAACCTTTTTTGTCATTACATTAAGAAGGAAAATAATGAATATGGAAACTATGGCAGTCATGAAGTATACCTTTGCATTTGTTGAGCCACTAATGAACCACAGAAGTTCTTCAACAACACCTCGCCAAAAAACTCTCTGTATAATAGAAATGTCATCAATGACACCTTAGACACTATAGATGAAAGGACATTACCATTCCATACACAGCTGCAAGAAGCATTTAATGACAAGCAAATACATAAAAGGCATACTAATCTAGAAGACCAATATGACATAATATTGTGATAATAATAGATAAATCATTGTAACTCCATATCAAGTATTAACATAAGAACAACAAGAATTATGTTTGCTCCAGGACATATGATGTGAAACAACATATTAAAATTGCAAAGAAGTTTAATAAAGAATAGATACCTTAGTTGTAAGAAGCGGAAAAGATTTGCGCAGATTAAACCGCATCTGTTAATTATACAATATTTATAAGTGACATATAAAAATGCTCATAATATTGCACTGCATGAACACAGGGAAACATGTGAAACAATGGTGATTAAAAAAAAAAATTCACAAGGTGAACATAATAAACCTATGTTTTCGATACCTGGCAACCAAATCTTGAAAGGGTACCAGTCCCTGTCCTGTCATCTTTCTGGGCACCACTTGAGATGATATCTTGAATCAGCCTCAGATACATATACTCATCATGCCTCTGAAAAATCATCTCGGGCAGGAAGTTAAAACTCTCAACCTCGAGCTTATTTGAATCTGAACTACCATTACACTTTACCCCACCGTTAGAAATTACAGATTCAGTTGCAGAACTCCTCACACGAACATAGGTCACAAAACAATAACGAATATTGGTTTCCACCAATGGGAAAGATGAGTACCATGGCTGAAACACAGAGATGTCAACAGGAGGAATAAATGTATCACATTCAATACTGGTCTCAATCTCAGTCATGTGGATTGCATCACATCCTGGAGCATTCAGTGCTTCCCTGTGCCAAAAATCATCAGTGCCTTTCAATATTCAACAGTTTGTAGATAATTAATGCAGCAACAGGATCGTTACCTTAATATCTGGCCACCTCCTATAACAAACACCTTCTCTATTGAAAAACAATAAGGAGATTCTGCTAATAATTCCAAAGCAGATGGCATGCTCCCACATATGACAACATTCTCGGCAGTAGCAATGTCAAAACTCCCAGAACGAGTCAACACAACATTGAGGCGACCAGGTAGAGGTCGATGCTCAAGCGGAATACTTTCCCATGTTTTCCTCCCCATTACAACTGCATTCTTCTTCCCAGGGTCGGATGTAGTCTTTGTTATCTCCTTGAAAAATTTAAGATCAGAAGGCAACCTCCATGGTAGCTTCCCATCTTTTCCGATGCCCATATCACGAGTTGCAGCCACCACAACTTGGTAGGTCCTCCGGACATCAGGCTGCTTGCTCGCATCACCATTTGAAAGGCTCACAAGGGAGTCCCCTCCCATAGTTGAGTATATTCGGTGCTTTGCAATAACGTAAAAAACTCCAAATAAATGCGAGTATACTGACACTGAACAGGTTCTGAGAAGGCTACTTCTGCAAGAGCTCAATAGAACCTAAAAGTGATAATGTTATAAGATTATTATCCTCTAATTCAGGCAATTAGAAAACAACATCTATAAAGGCCTATAAGTATCATCAAACCTGGGGTATGTAATTTGCTATAAGTTATTAGAAGGCAGTCCGTTATTGTATTTTCTATCAAGTCATTAGGATAACTTTATGAATTTAATTAAAGAGGTTCAACTAAGAAAACTTTTGGCAAAAGTACCCAAAAAAAATAATAAAATAATAAAATAATAAAAAATAAAAAAGGCCCTGAACCACTTTATAGTTTCGGGATGTCCCCCTGTACTATTTTTTGGAGCAAATCAGTACCTAAACTATTAATAGGTTGCATATTGTCCCCCTGAAGGTCACCGGAGACTACTTTCCGACTGTCAGAGGGGCACGTGACTTGATTTTTGCATTTAATGGCCAAAATGCCCTTGCATATGACCATTTTACCCCCTTCCTTACAAGAACCCATTTGCTACCTGTTTACTTGCAACATTCATATTCCCTCTCTCTCCAACCAAAGCTCTCCTCTCCAACAGGCAACTGGTGAGCTTTGATTTATTATACATGTATATTCATATGTGTGTGTGTTTGTGTGTATATATATATATATAAATTAAACAGAGTAAACACAAAATGATACTAATGAAACAGACTAAAGTGTGTTAAAAAAGGCAATGTTGGATTGAATAGAGAAGAAAGAAAGAGGACCTCTTTTTCATTGTACATTGGGATTTGAACGAGAACCATCCGGTAAGCTCTAAATTACCCAATTCAATATCATCTTTTATGGGCTCCCATTTGTAACGAGTCTCTGGTTTTCGACCAAACAGCTTCACAACAACAATCACAATGCCCATATAGACCCTCTCAATGATTAAAATCACAGATGTTATTAAGCACAACACAATGGCCAGTCGAAGAAGAGGGACTATCAATGGTGCTTTGACCTGACCCCAAATCAACATAATCTGATTTGTTATGTCATCTTGAGAACCCATAAAAGAATCCGGAAGAAGCTTTACAAAGGAAAGTTTCTCCATTTATGTGCACTTTGCAGTTGAAAAACAGTGTGAGCAATAAAACAAGAGTTTCTATATATATATATATATATATGTATGTATGTATAAACTATAGATCTGTATGTATATAAAACTATAGATCTGTATGTATACATAGGTCACATTTGGCTAAACAGTAAGAATATCTTTTTCTTTTGGTTTTGCTCTTGTGTTACGCAAAACAATGGTGGTAGAGCTGGAATGGCTCAAAACCTCCACTGAATTGCAGAGACACACAAGATGGTTTAGCACACCCTTTTCAGATGTTAATCTGTTAAACCAACAAAATTGAAAAACAGAGCATTGTACATATAACCCTAATAATGTTAATAACATTTCACACAAAGCTCTTAAAATGCTCTGTTTTTCTTCTTTCTACCCAAAAATGCTTTGTATCTTCACACAGATGCACACACAAGTGCTTGAATAAATGTCGGAACAGAGGAAGAGAGAGAAACAGATACTCTTACTTATTCAAAAAAATAAATAATGGAAGAGAGAGCAACAGAGGAGAAACCAATAAGATTGAAAAACAGAGAAACCAACAATTGAAGAGAAAACAAACCCAAGAAACGAAGTGTCTCACCCACAATCAAAGTGTCTCTCTCTCTAAACCAACTGTTGTACACTTCTGATAGTGGTTTTGGGTTAAAAAAAAAAATGTTTAAGTTAACTTCGTTGAGGGCATTATTGGTATTTTGCACCTATGATATTTTATACATTTTACAATAAATTAATAAGCGGGGTTAGATTAGTAATTTGGAAAGTAGTTTCCAGTGACCTTCAGGGGGTAGTATGCAACTTTTTCATAGTTTAGGTACTGACTTGCTCCAAAAAATAGTACGGGGGGCATCTTGCAACTATATAATAGTTCAGGGGTTTTTCCAGAACTGATTCCTTCTCTTTGTTTTTACAACAATGCTTTACCTGCAACAACGGACTGTTATGTTAGAATCATTCCCTAGATAAAAGCATGTGGAAAGACATTATACTTGATGCATGGCGTATATAATTCTTTAGAAACCTTGCAAAAAGGTATGTTCCTTGACCACGATCACGCGTTAATGTCTGCCAAGAGCTACTCAGACTCCCTCATCTATGCCAAAAGCAATAAGACCATTCACGATGAAACACAAACAATGAATCTGAAAGAAATAAATAAACAAACAAATAGAAGTGTCAAATGCAATGCTCAACCATAAGGCAATTAAGACGATAGCCTAAGGCCACCAATAGGAGAAGAGACCCATCTCTCATTATATTAGTTATATACAGTATTCCTGTTAAGCCTCCAATTAAGGCGGTCGCCTAAGGCCCCCAATAAGAGAAAAGTTGCATATCTCATTATATTAGTTATATATTTCTTTGAATGAATTAATTTTGCTTCCTATTGTATTAATTACCAAATAAACACAATTGCTCTCGTATGGGTAAATGCAAGTTTCTTTTATATATAAATATAATATATACTAGTATAATATTACTTAATGAATTATTTATGTTTCATGCATTATTTTAATTACCATATGAGTAATTCTTTGAAGAGAGCTTCCTTACCATGAGCTCTCCATTTTAACCAATGAATTGAAAGATATGCTCTTCTCGTGAGGGAGCTCTCTTGAGAGCATTAGTCTTACCAAAGAAATACAACTGCTCTCCTATTGGTCAATACGAGTTTTTTTAAGTGCTTGTTATATATAAATATATATATATATTAATGAATTAATTATGGTTCGTGTACTGTATTAATTACCAAAGAAATACAATTGCTCTCCTATTGGTCAATCCAAGTTTATTTTATATTAGTTATATATAAATATTAATGAATTATTTATGCTTCGCATATTGTATTAATTACCGAATAAATACAATTATTGTCAATACAAGTTTCTTTTATAGTAGTGTTATATAATATGTGTGTGTGTGTGTGTTAATGGATTATTTATGCTTTGTGTATTGTATTAATTACTAAATAAATACAACTGCTCTTCTATTGGTCGTTTCTTTTATTTTTATCTTATAATTATCTCTTTTTGTTTCCTCGACAATTTCACACCTTTTGCATATCGGTACTCGTTCAAAATTTTGTATTTTGTAATCAATTAACTCTCTTCCACGTAAATTTTAGCACAATTAAATCACTATCTATTAAGTTGAAAAACAAAAATCAAATTTTTATATTTCTTTGAGCTTACTACAAGTTAAGTAGAAAGAATAATTCTAAATATATATTAGTACTATATTAATATAACCAATGTTAAAAAACCTTATTTAAAGTTTGCTTTAGGCCTCAAACTGCATCAAGCCAGCCCCAAGTAAAGTGATAAAGCATGACATTTACTACTCATAATAAAGCTAAATTTTATTTATTTTTTTAATAAGTAAGATTGTATTGAAAAGGCATCAAAAGGGAAACACATCCCTCACAAGCTACATAAGGCCAAATAGGGCCTTTAAACTCTCAGGCTTCATTTGGATTGAGTGAATTGGAGGGATTTGGAAAGAAAAGAAAAGAAAGGATAATCTCAATTGTGTTTGGATAGTCTTTAGTGGAGAGAAAAGAAAGGATTGGGAGAGATTTGGATGGATAGGTATCCCTCTAAATCCCTCGTATGTTATCCTCCCAAAAATGAGAAGATTTGGAGTGAGAGGATAGTGGATTAAGTAGTATATTCATAATCTTGAAACTACCTCAATAATTAGAAGAACAATTTTGTTATGTCATTCATGTCGCATACTCTACCTCTATTAGTTCCAACTTTTGACCTCTTCACCTCATTTCAGTTTGGCCCGAAAAACTTTGAGATCTCCTGAGTTGTACCCGGAACAACAACTGAGTTTGTCAACTAGTATTTCCTGAGTTACATGTTCCTATTAAGAAGAAAAGAAAACAAAAAAGTATATTTATTTTATAACTTACAACCACCATTAGATTATAGTATGGTATGGTTGTTACCATATTATATCAGTCTGTGAGAGAATGCCTAAAATCCACCTTATGAGAGATTATTGTTATCTAGATGTTTTATCTCTCTTGTCGGTGGGTCAAGGTTGCTATATCGAACCTTGTTGTTTATCTTTAGTTTTTGGGCAGTAAAACATTTCCTTACCTATTAAAAAAAATAATAATAATTAAAAATGTTGAAACAAATCATTAATAAAGGTTTATAATTCTTTGAAACAAGAACCATGTATTTATAAGAACATCTAATTTTGCACAACATTAGTGCTGCAAGGTTCATGTTAATTAGTAGTAATTTATATATGAATCAAACTAATTTATTTATTTAAAAAATTGTTGATGCAAAAATTTTAAATTTTTGAAAATTTTGGATTTACATATATATTCTATGTTGTAGCAAGCTAGAAGTAAACCGCTAATAGTAGTAGTACTTATGGTAAAGCAATTCTGTGGGAATGAAAATCCCTTGAAGTTATGTATACGTTTTCTGTCCGAAGATTAAAGCACAAGCTTGAGTGTGACTGATTAGGATACCCATTCACTCCCACCTCCTTTACATTCTCAAAAGTGAGATCTTCACATTTTCCTGTGTATATACTTAGTAAATTGACTCAATCTAGTCACTTGATTAATGGTCGACTCTTTTATACAAAAATAATAATAATAATAATAAATAAATAAATAGAATGGGACCTCAATGATCCACCTCCTGTTGAGGTGGGAGGTGGGCTAACCATTGTGTTTTGATCCTAACGTTTTCGGCAAGCTAGAGAGCATGGTTAGTCTTAGGATAAATAATTAAATATAAAAGGGTATAATAGTACTTTTGTTGTTATCCTTTATTTTCAATCCAACTTTTCTCCAAACAAGAATATTATCATTTCCTCTCTTCCGTCATAATTTATCCAAACATGAATAGATGTTATTACTATCCTTTCTTTTCTTTTCTTTTCTTCTCTCTCATAATGAATGATATCCTTTCTTTTCTTTTCTTTTCTCTCCTGTTTATCCAAACGAACCCTCAAAGAATCTAAAAAATCAACTATCTCCTCCATGGATTTACAATTTCCATAGAACCAAACAAAAAAGAGTGCTAACAAAAAAGAAGTTCAAACACCAATAGGGTTTTCCTTTCCATCAAAGGATCCCCCCTTTCTTAGTGCTTTAGAAGCAATAAATGACAAAACACAGAGATCATTAAGTAATTCTCACAGAGGTCTACCTAACTGAACTCTTATCACAAAGCAACCTGTTTAAGAACCATGAAACAAAAAGTAAAGAAAAAATACCAAATAATATTATGCTGATGAAACATAAGGAACTAAAATTTTGTTAGACTTGATAATGTGCCATAGAATATATTCAAGTGCCAAAACAATCATAATGAAAGGATTTTTCTCTCTTTTTGTTTTGTACTGTAGAGGATGAGAAGTCATAAGTTTTTAAAATACAATTGGAATTGAATGAAGGGGTATAGTAATGGAAAGTCTAAAATTCCAATTCAGTTCTATAAAGGTCAACTTATAATAGATTGTCTAGAACAGGAGTGGAACTATCCGGGCGACTTGTATAAAGTATGCTCTCAATTATTAGAATACGAAATTAGGAGTGTTTTAGACCATTAGCCATTACACTTTAGAGCCTGTATTCCTAGGAATTTGACAGTACCACTTATTAACAAGTTCACTACAGGAACTAAATTCTAGGGCATGGGGCACCATTTTGGAAGATTGTATGTGGGCCTTGAAAAGCTACTCTTAGAACAATCTCTGCGAAAATTGATATATTTACCCTCCATCTCAGTGGACATCTCCAAGTCAACATTAAAATCCACATGTCATAATCTATTCTATGCTCTTGCTTGTTTTATCTAGTTCATTTTCTATGTTCCCACTCAAAAGTGTAGATCTGTATAACAAATAAGATGGAACAATCATAATTGGAGAGTCCTACAGAAATCAACAAAGGACAAAGAATTTACTTGTGGTGATATCTCTAATAATCCTCATTATGTTTAAAAGAAATAATAGTAATCTTTCAAGAACCCCAAAAGATAACTAACCCAACCCCAACCCAGACCCTAAAATTTTAAAAAAAGAAGAAAATTTGAAAATTAAAAGAAACAGAACTTACATTTGGAAAATCCATTAATGGGATCAAAAGAGATCATCGAACATAAACAACCAAACATGCATGTTAAAAGAGTAGGAAGCATATATCAGAAGAAAGAGGCATTTAGAAAAAGTAATCAGAACTTCAAGTGAAATCCAAAATTACTTAAATTAACAGATAAATTACTTAAATTAACAGATAAATCGGTAAACAACACAAAATATTCCACGAATTAAGTTAGAATCAAGAGTGCAAGAGTTCCTGCAACGAGGTGAAGCAGAGCTAAACTGAAATTACGACATGAAATCAGAGTAGTAGGCAAATGCAGACTCAAAAACTCTTCAAAACAAAGAAATAATAAAATGCTTTCTAAAACATTGAGCATTTTCTAGGATTTTACTTAATTTTCTCTCGTTCACCCAAGAACCAAACAGGAAGTCACAAAGATAGAATTTATTATATACAGACCTTAAAAATAACGCAGTCTCTTTAATTTCTGCTTCGCGAACTTGGCCACTTTCCACACAAGAAGAGAGTGAGAGTTAGGATAGTTTTATAGGGACTGAAATTGCTCTCTCTCTCTTACTCTTCCTCTTTCCTCTCCTGTTTTTGGATGGAAAAGACAGCGAAGGGAAATGGAGAGAGGAGGGGTTTTAAAAAGGAGAGAAAACTCGTAGAATATCCAAGAGCGC